CCTGCCCTCCTCGCTGTGGCAGGAGCCTGCCTGGAGCCCACACTGTTTTCATGTGAATTTGAAGAGGATGACAAATTGTTTGTGGGGTGTTTTGTTTCTTTTTTTTTTTCTTTTTTTTTCTTTTTTTTTTCTTTTTTTTTTTTTTTTGTTTACATCAATCCCCTCCCCGGCCCAACATACACGACATAGAAGCCCTCCCTGCTCCCTCCCCAGTAAAAACTCTTCGTCCCCAACCTCTGCTGGAGTCGTTCCCCCTGGCCCACACCTCCCGGAGTGAGAGAAGTTCACAGATAAGGCAGTTCGTGTGAGAGGGAGCTCGGCCCTGCCAGTGGTCAAGCCCGTGCCTCCCGGCCTGAGAAGGGCAGTGACTCGCAACACCAAGCCTGCCCGTTCCAGACAAGACAGAGAACAGAGACAGACAGACAGACAGAGCGTGGGAAGGAGGCACTCCTATGGTTTGCATTGCTGCTTCCCTCCTCCCCTGGGGTCTTGCTCCTCCGGCCCTCGCAGGTCCACTCTATCCCTCTATCCCCCTCCCATCTCCCAGTCCCTAATACAATTCAGATCCTTGACAGCTAAAAAAAAAAAAAAAAAAACAACAAAAGAAAACGAAAAGAACAAAACCACCCCCACGCCACACCCTTCGCATCCTTCTCCACCCGCTGCCGTGGCCCAGAGGGGAAATCCTGACTCCCAAAAAGGTCCTGCAACTTTTGCCTCCTGGCGGAGCTGAGACCAAGCAGGAGCTGGGCCCATTATTTCCCTGTGATCTCTATAACATCGTCGTCTTTGTCCTCGTCATTAGAGCTGCATCCCACCTCTGGGACCTCCTGGGGTTCAAACTGAGGCACCTGGGACCGAAGGAGGCCCCCGGCCGGGTAGCCCGAGTGAGGGGACATGTAGCCAGGGTAGGCAGATGCCATGCTCCTGGGAAGGCTGCTAGGCAAGACAGGGGCTGGGAAAGGAGCAAACATCCTGGGCTCGGGCAGGAGTGACTGCGTGAAGGGAAGCGAGTAATTGGGCAGCACCCCCGTCAGAGAAGGGTTTAGCATGAATGAGGGGACGCTGGCGGTGGCTGAGGTAGCAGCAGAAGAGCTGGCGGTGCCGGCTGTCAGCAGAGGGTCAGTAGTCACAGGGAACACCAGATGAGGGTCTGAGAGTAAATTGGGCAGCTGGTAGTAAGAGGAGCCAGTGCCCATGTACAAGGAGTTTCCTGGTTGGGAGGCAAATGGATGGGTTAGGTTGTGGTTTAAAGAGACAGGAGGCATGGCGAACCCACCGGAGACAGGGTACCCGTGTTCGTAGGGCTGCGTGGATGATGGCAACTGGCGCTTCTTCTGCTGCCTGCGGGCTTGCTCCTCCGGAGCCGACGGTGAGGTCGACTTGCGCTTGTTGCCCCGTAAGTCCAACACTGAGTGGGCATCGACGTGCTGGCTGGGGGGCGGCCGGGG